GGGTTTCGCCTTGTTGGCCAGGATGATCTCAGACTCCTGACCTCAAGTGATCCACCTGCCTTGGCCTCCCGAAGTGCTGGGATTACAGGCGTGAGCCACCGTGCCTGGCCCCATTATTTTAAATGCTAAAACATTATAATGTGTTATGTGTCAACTAAAATTTCATAACCAATTTTGTAAAATATAATTAAAGCACAGTTAAACAATGAAAACTAATAATCATAATAGAACATAAATGTTTAGCATATTGTTTCCTGATTACCAGTTAAAATAGCTATTAATAAGCAATTGCTTTAGATACCTCCTTTATTGAAACTTGTTGTACTTTTCAAAAACATCCATACGTGATTCCTGTAACTTACTGTGAGCAAAAGTTCTCTGAAAAGGAATTTGGAGGAAACAGGCTTTATTCTAGTGAACAATTTGCAAACCAGGGAGATGCAGCCCTCCTTGTAAAATGAAGGCGAAGGTTTGACATTTCCTGTTAATCAAGTCCCTTTATGCAAATGAAGGATTCAGACTTGCTTGGGCTGATTGGTTGACACAGCTGAGTTCTGATTGGTCAATATAGCTGAGCTCTGATTGGCTGAGGCAAGTGAACTCTGATTGGCTGGTTCAGGTGAGCTCTAAAAGCTCCCAGAGTTAAAAAAGTGTGAGCATTCTGGGACCTCTATTCAGCATATGACAGCTTCTGTCTGACTTAAATGTAGGCTTAGTTACCCACTTGGGATCCATCTTGAAGGAATAGCTCTTTCAGGTTTCTTTACACAACCAACTGAATTTGGAATCCTGCCTGAGAGTTGTTCCCCACATTATTTTGTTAAAAACATTATATTGACTTTTGGGCATGTATACTTTTTTAAAACATAAATATCAGCCAGAGAAGCCAGCAACACTGTAATGAAAGATATATATGTTTTTCAGAAGCATGGGCATTATAAAACTTGGCAGTGCTCTATTGGGAAATACTATCCAAGGAATATTCTGTGGGATATACCTATTATTGGTTCATAAGAATAATTAGAATGTCTTCTTGTGCACAAGGGTAGCTCAAGTAGTATAGGAATTATGTGGTCTTTAAATATTTGATGGAATTATCTTGCGAAATTGTTGATGTCTGATCTCTTTTTGTAGGGCAGTTCCTTTGTAATACCTCTTTTTCTGTATGGATGTTGGTCTGTTTAAACATTGTTGCCTCCAGAGATGAGTTTGGTACATTATATTTTCCCTAGAAATTATCCATTTGATCTAGGTTTTCCCACTTATTTACATAGCCTTAAGAGTGGCTTAAAGTTTTAAAAATTTCCCTCTGTTTCAGTGTTTTTCCTCGTCATTTTTGATCCTGTGTTTTTTGTTTTTCTTTTTTTCTCTTTTTTTTTTTTTTT